CCAGGGCTGAGGGGCTGGGGCTGCCTGGCAGGGACTCTGGCAGGGCCCGGGGCGCTGGGCTCTTTTCCTGGATGGGCGATGAGCCCATCTCCGTGTGTCCTTGACGCCCCCCCGCCAGCCTCCCGTGGGTCCCTGTGAAGTGGGGACCATACGTCCAACACATGAGGTTGTGTGACGACTGGCTGTTATGTCACCAGGCCCGGGCCTCAGGAACGTGACCTCTTCCTGTCCCCCGAGGCCGCCCCGGGCGAGGAGACATTAGTCACGGAGCAGCGGCTGCGCTCAGCACGCCGCCCCGAGACCAGGCACGCGCTGTGCCCACCTGAGCAGATAGAAAAGGCTTTTAATTGTTTTAAAAAATCAAATACTTTCTATTGAATTTAATATTTACGTAATTTATAATAAGTTATGTAACTTGCAAACAGAAGCGACTGCACTGAGGCGGTCACCGCTTATCCGAGGAAAAGCGAGGAAAGGGCAGGGGCGGCCCAGTGACCGCAGTGCCGGTCCTACGAGGCTCTGAAACATGGGGACGTGGATTCCCGCAGCACTGAGGTGGCCAGGCACCGGGCGTCTGAAGGGCGTCCTGTCACCCCTCCTTTCAGGACGCAGGAGCCCCAGAGGCCCGAGCTCCGCTCACGAAGCCGGGCTCACCCACAAGGATGTCAGCGCAGGTTGTGGTCAGGGAGGGTCGCGGGTCCTGGGGACCCACCTCCCCTGAACTCCCGCTCAGTGGCCCACCTGGTCCCGGAGGATGCAGACGCGGGAGGCTTGGCCGTGCAGGGTGGGCGCACAGGGAGGTGCGGAGGAAAGGGTGCCGAGTGGGGCAGGGGGCAGGGGCCAGGACCTGGCCGGTGGCTGTGAGGAAACCCCAGCCCAGCGAGCCCCCCGCCCCGTGCCCCAGAGCCAGCCTCCACCCAAGTCGTCTGCCCAGGTGCCTGGCGTGAAGGTTGCGTGTCCATGGTGCCTCTCATCATCCATGTTTGTGGTCCTTGGGGATTATGGGGACCCTGCTGACCGGGAGGACCGCCCCTCCCAGAGCCAGGAAAGGGCTCCCTGTGTGGAGCCTCCAGTGCAAACCTCTGGGGCCTGACACTCGGGGCCACCCGCCCAGACCCCTGAGCTGCGCACCAGGCAGCAAGGGGCAGTGTGTGTGTGGGGTGTCTCTGTGTTCGTGTCTGTGTGTGTCTGTGTGTGTCTGTGTGTGTCTGCTGTGTGTGTGGGGGGTGTCTCTGTGTGCGTGTCTGTGTGCGTGTCTGTGTGTGTGTCTGTGTGCGTGTCTGTGTGTGTGTCTGTGTGTGTCTGTGTGTCTGTGTGTGTGTCTGTGTGTGTCTATGTGTGTCTGTGTTTCTGTGTGTGTATGTGTCTATGTGTCTGTGCGTGTGTCTCTGTGTGTATGTGTCTATGTGTGTTTGTGTGTGTGTCTGTGTATGTGTCTATGTGTGTCTGTGTGTGTGTATGTGTCTATGTGTGTCTGTGCGTGTGTCTGTGTGGACCAGCCTCCACCCCGTGGCCACGGAACAGCTCGCATTAGTCACTCCTCCGCCTGCTCGGCCTGCCTCTCCCGTGCCTCTGGCAGGAAGCCCAGCCAAGGCTCCTGCCCACGCCCCCCTCCGCCCCCTGCGTAGCCCTGTGCTCCCGCGTGGCCCCGCATGCCTGGAACGTCGGTAACAGGCTGGCTTTTCAAGGCAATGGCGGCCGACCAGGTCTCCCCAGGCTCGAATGACGATTGAGCCTTTAAAGCAGCTGCCCCGCCAGGCCCAGCGAGGCCCCGACTCCACCGGGCGCGTCCCTGAAGCTGGTCTCCACATGGCACCCCAGGGCCGGCGGTGGCCTCTTCCTGCCTCGGTGGGGGCCA